TCTCCGAGGAAAATTATGCACAGGGATGTTAAGCCGGCGAATGTGTTCATAGCTGGCGAGGCCTTTCAGGGACTGGTTGAGGGATTCGGGGCCTGGGGTTTGTAGACTGTAGGGTCCGCGGGAAGTGTAGGTGTAGGTTCTGCGCCTAGGTTTAATTGCTGTGTACGGCTACGCAGAGAAATTTGGGGAGCTTGTAGAGCTCTTGTCGGGTTCAAAGCTTAGATTTTCCTAAGGGCTTCAGAATCCTTGGAGTCTCTTTGTAGGTGCTTCTAGTGTTTGGGGTTGGAGCTCTTTGGCCTCTAGCATGGATGTCTCAGTTCAGAGGATGCCGAAGGCTGGGAAGCTTTCAGCTTTGGTAACATCTGCAAGGCTTTGCACGCCGCTGGCGGGAAGCCCTGTCAGCTGTTCCAGAACACTGTTTGTATTTCTGGGCGGGATGGCAGACAGCGGCACTTCTTGCCCTTCTCTGGGCTCCCAGGCAAAGTGCAAAAGTTGCTGCTTCTTCCGTGAGCTTCAGTGTTCTTATCATAGTATCGTTGTTGCACAACAATGTTGCTCTGTCTACAGCCTTTCTCCAGGGCGAACTGGACCATTGTACCGTCAAACTCGGCCTCTTGGCTGCAAGCTTCTTTTCAGGTTTGGGCTCGGCTTGGGGTCTCCAGGGCTTGGGGCTTGGGCTCACACGCTTGACATCTTCAACAAGTTCGTAACGTAATCCCAAGCTATATACCAAAAACATTGGCTCCCTGCACGAGGGCCAGCAAGCCATGTGGAGTTTGCGAGAACAAAGTGTATAAAGAGAAGCTGGTTGGATCCTTTGGTAGGGCTGCAGAGTTTCTTGGTACCAACCGGTGGCTGAAAAGATGAATCAAGCCTTCTCAGACATACATGAATATTGCAGGGCTGTTTTGTAGGTTGCGGTTCAGGAATGCGGGCTTGGGATCTTGGGCTTAGAGTATTCGGATCCGGGCTTTGGAGCCCTCGGTTCGGGCCTCAGGATGTGATGGGCACCTGCCATACTCGCACGCGTTGCAGTAGAATCATTTCGCCCGTTTAGCCCTCAGGCCTCAAACCCTGGCATGTTCCCAAGGTTGACTACCGTTTTAATGATGACTGCACATCGGCCCTAGGCAGCTACAATGATCATAGGATCCAGGCTCCAGGCTCATGCTTTTCAGGGTTCCGGAGGCAGTTGATGATAACCTGAAGCTCTACACCCGAAACTGCCTTGATCTGTATGGCTGTTCATTCGCGTAGATGAGCAATCTTTCGTGGCTCGCCCGAGATGCGTTGCATCTACAATAGCGACGTCGTGAGGCTTTGTCTAGATTCTTGCAGGTCTTTGTGACGCTTGTAAGTTATAACACTTTGACCCTTTGGGCCATTGGGCCGAATTCGAAGTCCGCACCCTAGATTGGATGCCGTGAACCCCCCAAAAAACACACACATCGCGGTCAGATTCTTAGAGCTTAGACTTTAGAATGTTAGACCTTTAGAGATGATTTAGAGTCTAGGGCTTGCCCCCAGGCGACTTCGGAATTGCGAAGATGATCGAGGGGACGGGACAGGCAGGCCAGTGTTGCATTGACTCTGCAGCTGAGCTGTGTGAGGTTTCAGGAAGTGATGGACCCGGCAGAGCTTATCATTCTTGATTTGGATTGGGCAACGTGCTCTTTCGGAGGTGATTGCGCAAACTCCTTGAGGCTTTTAGGGCTTTGTGTTCAGGGTTTACGGCTTAGGGTTCTTCGAGGTCCTCGCCTTCTGCAGAAGGATGGCAGCTGCCACCCCAGCACCTCCAATTAGCGATTCCACGTGCCTTCAGGGCTTCGCCATCTCATCCTGGATGGACGTTCCATTGACACAGAAGTGTATGTATTGCATGCAGTTCCTGTGGCCATGCAACAGCACTCAGCAGACACTCCGTATCAGTTTACCGTGTCACGGAACTCGCTTCTGGAGTTCTACGCTCACTGTTTCATTTACTGTTTACTTTTGGATACTTTTGGGAAATGGAGACTTCCTTACATAAATCCCAATACTACAATCCTAGGTAGGGCCGAATATGGGAGCTGGCCTTCGTTCACCTCGGACGCGAAACATGCTTCGGCTCAAGACTTTGAAAGAACATGCCCGTGAAACGTCGTTTGATTCTGTGGAAGCCAGGCAAGCACAAGAAAAAGCCACCCACAGCCTTCTTAATCAGAATATCTGGTTTTAAGCGCAAACCGTATCCGAAGGGGATCGGAGCAGCTGGTCAGGATGTGTGTTCGTAAGGGCGTTGGCCTGGCAGAGGTCGACAAGAATCATCAGACCCCACTCTTCTACGCTGCTTCACATGATGACATGGCAACGACATAGTTCCTGCCGAATCTCAAGTTCGGGATGAACTTCAGAGCGAAATTCAATGAGACAGCACTTTTTTCACGCCATTCGGAATTGCCATGCAGAGATGGTCAACTTGTAACTTGAGCGTGGAGCGTTTCTTGACACCAAGTCAACCGACGGGACAACTCCACGCACAGTGACAAAGAGACCGAGTCCGTCAAGGGAGTGGTCGAGAACGAAGAATTCGTAGTGTGCGAGCCTGTGTGCAACTGCCAACTGCGCCAAGCGGCCAAGCGAACACGAAATCGAAGCCGAGCATGCGAATTTGCATGCAGCTCTGCCATGGTGCAAGGGCTTACAGTGCATGCAAGCGTGCGAGACGCTGCAGATCTGATCGGCATCCGCGCCCGAATCCAGACACACGCTTGCGTGACATTGAACCGTCAATGGAAACAAGACACATCCTGGGGTACACGTATACGTGTACGTCAGCTTTTCCGAGCAGATTGCGATAACAAAACACACTCTAAGGTCGAGTGGCCTCATCAAGGCAGAGCCTCGGTAGACTGCTGATAAAAACCGCAGAGGTGCACGCTAAGAACAAGGGCTCTGGCCTGAGAAAATGCAACGGAAGGTTTTGGACACAAATGACCCTGCTAAAGAGGTTCTATGCGAAGGAAGGATTCAGAGAAAACGACCCCAACTTCCACCATGCGCATGCATTGACAGCAAGTGTGCATACGCCAAAATCAAATTAAATGGTTTCTTGTGGACAAGGATGCTGCGCAAAAATCGCGTAAATATGGAGCTATGGAGTGCAAGATCTCGAACATTGGCAACACACTGGAAACAGATGGTGAAAGCTGAGCTGCTGAGAGGGTTGCTGTGGGTTCGATGTGTAATTCTCCCTTTAGGGTTTGTGGTGTTTTTTGGGGGGTCGGACTTATTATACCACCCAAGCTCCTGTTTTGGGGACCCCAAATCGGGACCAAGAACAACCTAGCTGCAGCTAAGCAACATCGCTCGATGCGACGCCTCCTTGGGCTTCTGACTCCCCTGCATCATACAACAAGTTGCATCCACCAATCATATATCTATGCCAGGCTTCATGCTCAATACATGCAATGGTTGGGCATACCTGAAAACCCAGATTCCTTTCCAGGCTTAGGCCCTTATGATGTGTCCCCAGCACCTCCATTTGCCCAGATTGTTTTCACCCCTGACCCCTGTACAATCCGACGCGCTGGAAACAACCCCCGAAGCCTTTACAAAATTCCCTACTTAGGCTGGCCAGCGGTGTGCTGTCTTGTTCGTAGTTTCCGTGTTCCTGCTACGCTACCAGAACCCACTCCCAAAATATGTATTCTCTCCAAAGGAAAGCCGGAATAACCCAGCCAACGTCGTGCCACTCATCTGGTGAAGGCAAATTCGACCGTCGGAACGCCTTCGTACTTGTCGCCGGAGATGTGCAAAAACAATCCCTACGGGATGAAGGTTCGCTGGTGTACACAGGGCTTCAGGATCAGGGCCAGTAGGGTTTTTAGGGCTACCCGTTCAGGTTTTAGGGCCTGGGCGAAGTGATTTGGGTCCTTGGATGTTGGGTCTGCAGCAGGAACCAATGCGGGAAGAAGGCGTGGAGTTGAATAGGGAGTCAGAACCTTCAAAGAGGACCTCAATAACCTTCGCGGGATGAAGGTGCAGCGGACATTGAAGTGATCGGCGCAAAGTGCGTTGAAATTTCCGCATCAGATCCAAGCTTTACCGAAGCCGCGGATAGACCCCATTGGTCCCATTTGGACCATCAGGCTATTCAAGCGCATGAAATTTCTGAAGATACCCATGAGAACCCATCAGTTCAGGAAGCGAGGCCAAGGATACCCATTAGGATCCCATCAGCCACCAATAGGCCTCCCGTAGGATATCGGGCCACTGCACGGGAGTCCCCTAGCTACTTATGTGGGTTACCTGAATTAAAAGGAGAGTTATCAGGAACTTTGTAAGCCTTAAAGCCCTCCCCCATTCAGTCCAGATGCAATGCTAGTGCTGGGGTGTGAGAGAAAACAAAGTGAGCAGTCATTGCCTGTGCTGTTTTGCGGCTTCTCTACTTCTATAGCAAAGCTCTGTCCAAAACTGGGGACACTGTCATGTTCTTCCTTGCTCGGTCGCTATGATGGTAGTGGTCATTTTTTTTTGCGAGTGTCCAGTGCATTCAGCACATGCTGGCACACCGTGCATAGTTTCGGGTCGGTGTTCAGGGTGTAGGGTTCTGGTTCAGGGTTTCGGGTTCGCTTTTCGGGCTCCAGGGTTAGGGATTGCGGTTCAGGGCTGAGGGTTCAGGATGTCGAGTTACGCGCTCAAGGTTTAGGATTGCCAACTGGCTTGAATTGGGATCGTGTGATGAATCAGATGCTCAATGTTTCGACCCCTGAGTTGCAAGTTCCCGCTTGAAATCCATGAACGAATCAATCCCAAAGGCGTGAAACCCTACCTTACGTTCACATGTGTCCCCCGTGTCACGCCCATGTAGCCCTTCACAATCCAAACCTTCAGCTATGAGATTTGAGCGACCTCACCTCAATGGTGATCTACATGCGCAGACTCTGGAAACGGCGTATCAGACTCTTTGGAGCTAGTCTACTTTGACCCTACAATGCCGGGACTCGCTATGCTTGCAGGCGGACGTATGGTCGCTGGGGGTCGCATGGTATGAGATGGTGTGCCTGAAGGCTCCCACACAAAGGGCGCGGGATATGACCTAACCTCAACTCCCAATCATCAAGTTGCGGGGGATTTGTGGAGTGTCGAGGTACAAGGGGAGTTTCGGAAGCTTAGACTTGGGGCTTGAGCTTTCGAGGAGTTTGGAATTTCGGGCATCTTTCCAAACTGGCTTGACGACATCATGCTTGGATGCTCGTCGCAACGAGTACTGCTACGTCAGATTCATAGAACTAGTCAAAAAGCATCGGCCAAGGATGTATTTAGAAGCAACATGGCAAAGGGGGGAAACTGTAGTGAAAGAGCATCGCTATCCGTTGTAAGGCAGCACAGCACGAGCTGCGTCTCCGTTGGATCCTCCTGCGGGAATGCTGGAAGTCAGACGTGGGATGAACATCGTTTGGGTTGAGGGTTGACCCCACAAACACTTCACTCAAAATGTCATTTGAAGCCCTCGAGGCAATGCACGACGCTATCATAAATCAAGATATTTTTCGGTTTCATCTTGGTTCCTAGATGCGGCTTGGACAGTGGTTAGCATGCATACTGCATCCTTAGAAGCTTGGCGACCATGGTCGTTCTGTACAGCTAGGCTTGCGCAGGATTGTGATTATCAAAGGTGGGACCCTCTAGCTGCAGAATCCTATTTCCTCAGTAGGCCCTCAGATTCCCATACGTTTAACCTCTAAATCAGAGCCCCTCCCTCAGCTTCATGCCACAAAACCCGAACCCTCCAAAACTTAGACCTCAAACCCCTGACTCGAAGCCGCAAACCCCATCCCCCGAACTATTGCAAGCCGTTGCAGAACCCAAAGCCCGAGAAGCTCTAAATCCTGCAAAGCCCTAAACCCCACACCCTACACCGTAAAGGAGTCATCGAGAGGCCCGAATAATGACCAGAAGCCTTCAACCCCAACCCAAAGAGGATTTTGGTAGGTACCCTTCTCTGCCTCGAACCTCCCCGCCATGGCGTGCCTCAACAATCAGTAGAGAGACCAGATAGGACATGAGGTTTCCAAAATTGGGGGTCCAGTTTTTGCAGTTACTACAAGAAGGATTCGAATATGTTAAGGTATATCAGGGGTCGAACGCTTGTGGAAGCTCCCATATTTCTCGCTTCCAACAAAACTGGGGCCCTTGTCACTTGTAGGCTTCAGGAAGTGGGATCGGGTTTAAGGCTTTCTTCAACATCAGGAGACCTTGTTTCCTGGAGTTCGTTTATGAAAGATCATCGTACTGAAGGGTTGTCTGGGCATTGTTGGAAAGGCCAGTACAGGATGAAGCATTCGATGGGTTTGGAACTCCCGGTAGATTTGTGGGTTTGCCTTTTTGAGGTAAATACAGCCCTTCTTCACTAGTCAGACAAGCGTGGACAGTGCTGAGCGGCTATACGGAGCAAGGTTCCCACTCCCGAATTTGAACGTTGCACAGTACACCGCGCTCTAAACCCTTGGCCCAAATTTTAATAAATTTTAGATGGGATATAAGCCTGCCTGCCTTGGGGGTTTTGTTTATCGGGAGGATGTTGATGAAAACATGGATGATGCCAGCAAGCTTCCCCAAACTCGATGGTCTTGTTCTTGTTTTCTGCAGCCAGAGGTTCCAGGTTGCAGTTTGCGCATAGCATTGTTGCCGACTTAACTTCAAACATAGCTAGTCAAACTGAAGAAAGTTCGGAAATTTCATTGTTTTGCTTTCATTGTTTTGCTTGAGGAGCTGAAGGTTAGCACCACCGCACAGCCCCAAAATTAGGAGTTCACCGACCTCCCAAAGACTTTTCTGAAAGATGTGAAGATCTATGACAGATTCAAGGGCCCGCACAAAAACCGGAGTGTTTTCCGCCTTCTCCGACTGCACGGCTATAATGCTGTAGTGTGCTCCCACACATTTTTCCTGACGAAATGAAGTGCAACTACAGGCACCACAACTCGGCAAACTGGATCTGTTACAAAGGGCTCAATAGCTCCCTGCCCTGTTCAGTCCTCCGTTGCCCTTCCAGAGGCTCTGTGTAGTCTTCTTCGTAATTCCCACAAGCCTGTTGCAGGTTGAGGAATCGCAAGCATATTCAAGCGTGACCGCATGTTAAGTTTTGAATTAGACCCAGAATCCAAGAGAGTACGGATGTATGCCACTACTGCTTCTACTCGCATGTGTCGGTAGCTGCAACCCAAAATCCAGCTCCTGAGCGTGCTTTAAACTCTGAACCTCAACCCCCCTATCTTCAAACCTCGGAACGTGAAACCCTGCACTCAAATCCTTCTGCAGCATTGAACTCTGAACCCCGACCCCAAAAACTGAACCGCGCATCCTGAGCCCTTCCTCCTCAGCCTTGGTCCTGAAGCCTTCCCTCTCAAGCTTAAACTTAAACCCGCAGCGTTAGTCCAATCTCAGGCTCTTGATTTGCACCTCCGATCCCAAGCCCCTCCCGGAGGAGTACAGCCCGGAAGCCCAGTACTGAAGGTTGATGTTGATATGTGTGTTCCTCTCTGAGAGGGCCCCGGTGAGTCCCAGGGATGTATCCATACATGCCCTATGAGTTAGATGTTAGGGCTAAATCGAGGTCAGGGCTTGGGATTTTGAGTCGGGAGGTTTGGATGTAGCGCTGGAGGTCTGGGGCTTAGGGTCATTAGGGTTCAGCGCCAGATGTGTGCTTCGTTCCAAACGGAATGGATGACCTCTGTAGTCCATAATTGCTTTTTGAGTACTATTCCAATTACATTCCCTCAGGGAATCTCAGCATACCCAATGGAAGCTATTTCTTTGATACCGGGGGTAGACTTTGAACATGGGGTAGGGATTGCACGGGATCTCTGTAAACATTGTAAACCCTGATATTTTCTTGATGGAGCCCGACATCAAGTTCGTTGGGGTATGCATTTTGGTCTCAGGGGCTCGGGGTTGTTCATCTGATTCCCTTCCCCAAAAAATATTGAATGGCAAAAACGGGCCGTACAAAGATAGCTGTTCTTTGAAGCGGGGATCATATCATCTCTCATGTTTACTTGTGGGAGGGCAAACCAAAGAGAAGGATGGACAAAACGTGCGATCGAAGCCCATCTGCGGCTGTCTTGAAAGGATGGCTGTTCTGTAGACTTGTTTTAACTCCACGTCTGTTCGGGAAGAGCCTCTAAGTTGAAATGGCAGTAGTTTCCCACTCCGAGCTCCTATCTCTTCTATACTGCGGACCTGCTGAGGATTCTTGGCTTCCTCATGATAGGTCGCAGATGACTGTAGACCTTCTCGAAATAATTGCTGCAATTTGAGTGAGTTGTGCTAGAACTCTCCGTGTTCCAGACAAAGCCTGCAGAGCAGTTCAACTTCCATTTGTCAAGTTTCCGCTGAAATTCCGGTTTCCAGGCGCTGACTTGCAGACGCTGATCTTCTCACTTTTGCAGAAGGCAGGGATGGGCAGGGGTTGCGGCTTAGAGGGTTTATGGGGTTGAGGGTCTGAGGGTTACATTACAGGTTTTGGGCTGAGAGCTCATCGGGGACGAGGCTTCAGGGTATAAGTTTTTGGATTGAGGGTTTAGACCTTCCCTTCACGTGTTCTTCCTATGATAATGGTCATGGGTCTCCGACCCTCATAATGTTTTCAATTTAATGTCACAAAGATGTGGGCTCGCACAACATGAAACCCCATATAGGGTCCTTGAAAAAGCCCCTTAATCGTCAGACCCCACAAGCTTGTGTGTGTAGGGGAGGGTGCTGGCACTATGCTATCTTGCAAGCTAGAGACTTCACTGAACTTCAAGAGATTCCTTGAACTTTAAAGACCCGCGCCCCAAACCTGACTGCTCAAATTCTAACGTTCCGGGGCCGGCCGTTTCTGCAAAGTTTCCATAGCTGTCGTTCACATTCCCAAACTAGTGCGGAACTGTGCAGAAGAACCCATTGGCTGGGGCAGAGCAAAAGTCACCGAGGGTTGGGAGGCTGCTAACACAAAACGACGAACGTCTCCTTCGTCTTCTTGCAGCACCTAGTAAGAGACAGCGCCAGGATTTGGGGGTTTGTAAGATTTGAGGTTGCGGTTTCGGGAAGACCTTGCCCTGCAGATCTTGACACACAGGCAGCAAAGTTTGAAACTCATGCTGGGTAAGACCCCGGCGGCAATCTGCCACGGAGTTTCTGGACCTTTAATGCCTAAAGCGCTAAACTTTGAAACCCTGAGACCCCAACCCCCCCCAAAGCCTGAAGTTATGGGGATTTCTGCAAAAAGGGCTTCAGTATAGACCCAATATACTACAGTACTTATTATAAGGACCTGCAACAAGGGACTCCCCATATTTGGAAAAACACTTCAAATCCCCACGGGCCGCGAGTTTTTTGGAATTCCCCAACTTCGTCCTCTCGAGGATCCAGTGAAGCGCCCCCCGATGTCTGCGGTTGTCGAGGAGCCTGCAGTGAAGGCACCGGGGTAGAATTAACTCCTGCGTAGTGGAGAATCAAATGGAAAATCAAATGGACACTGGTATTTCGTCATATATCAGGGTTTAAGGTTGATGTCTTCTTGTTTAGGATTTAGGGTTAAGGGTTGGGAGTTCAGGGTAGTGTAGGGTTGGGTGATGCTATTTTGAGGGTTTGGGGTTTCGAGCCGCCTGGTTCTAGGTGTTATGACGTGGGGTTTGGGGCTAGGGTTTAGGGGTTTTGTATTTAAGCCTTGGGTGAGTTAGGGGTTAAAAATTGAAAGCTTTTGAAAGCTGTCATTTGAGCCGGCCACGCTGTCAGGGACTCTAAACCCTGTTGTCAGGTTACCGCCGGAGCTAGGGGGCTTGACCCGAGAACACATGGGGTCCAAAAGGATTTGAGATTTGAATCTAGGGGTTTTCGAGTCTAGGCTTCAAAGTTCAGTTTCTTTTTTTTTTTTTTTTTTT